TTTTTTTTTTTTGGCAATGTTAGTGATTGAATGCAGGGCTTTGCAAATGGTAGACAAGTATTCTGTACCTCCAGCCTACTTAATGAAATAGGAAACAAAATTATAAGCTAGGCATGGTGGCACATACCTGTAATACCAGCACTTCAGAGGCAGAAGAGGAAAACCAGGAGTTCAAGGTCATTTGGGCTACATAGTGAATTCAAAATCAGCTTGGGCTATATGAGAGCCTGTCTCAAAAAACCAAAAAGAAAAAAAAGTTATAGGGTGACTATGGTATGGAGTTGAATTAAAGGTTTAGAATAGAAAAAAACTGGGCAGGGACATGTAAAAAGATTATTAAGCCTGGAGGATACTGGATCCTAGCCATCAATGGACAAGTATTTCTTCTCTTTTTGCCTTTTTGAGACAGGGTCTCCATGTAGGTCTCCCAGGTGGCCTCACTATTTAGGTCAGGCTGGCCTTGAACTCACAGAGTTATGTCTGCCTCTGCCTCCCAAGTGCTGGGATTAAAGGTGGGGGGGGGGCAACACACCCAGCAGCCCAGTATTTCTCAACATAGCCTGAGGACCATCTGTACCTGAGTCATTGTGGGGACTGACTAAAATACAAAGTCCTGACCTTCTCCCCAATCCATTGTATTAGACTCTCAAGAAGTAAGGCTCAGGAAAATGCTAGGTTTGTATTCAACAAAACACTATGGGTAGCCTCGAGTTTGCTGCCCTTAGGGAAACTTAGCCTATGCTCCTGATCTCTCCTTACCCAGTGCTCTTGATTTCTCCTATCCCCACCACTCAGGCTGAGCCAGAGCCTCTCACCTGTTCGGACCTTTGTGCTAGATCTCCCCTCTGGCTTCTTTTCAGTATGCCTGTCTCCTTTTCCTCTGCTTCCAGTCCTTACATAGACATAGTAGTCAAGTGGCTAAAAGCACTGACTTTTGTTAGATGCACTTGGGTTCAGAATCCAGCTTAATAACTAGGTAATCTTAGAGTTACTTAAGCTTTAGTTTTTGACATTTGCATAACATGGGTTATTTTTGTACCTACATAATAGGGTACTTACAAGAATTAAATGTGCCTGATAGAGTGAACACTTGTTAAGTAGTTGTTTTATTTTTGTTGCTAGAGGGATCCACCTGGTTTCCAGTGGGAGGGTGAGTGGTGGTTGGTGGTTATTGCTTGCTTTCATGGATCAAGCTGTTTATCTTTCATGATTCCTCTAGGAAGGTTTGGAATGTTTTTGCTTTATGGTGAGAGGGACAGGTGAAAGACTAGGAGAAGCCTTGGACATGGCAGGGAGGAAAGGAAGCTGAATACGAGGGCAGTGGAAATAGCATTTACAAACAGCAGCATGCTAAGATCCAGCTGAGTAACTTTCATGACCTCTTGCCAGGCTAAAATCTGACTCCTTCCCAGAGCTCATTTGAAGTGTTCATTTGAAGGGCAGGCATTATCTAATTGCTGCCCCCACTCCCTTATATTTTTAGGGCTTATTCCCAGAAAGAGATTTCAGAGTATGCCATGGAGGATTTTCAGACAGATCTGTCTTTGATCTAAAGCATGTTCCAGATACCAGGTATGACCAGTCTGTGATCCAGACCTTCCCTTCTGAAGGGATGGCTGGAAATGCTCTGCATTATCCTGCCTCCTTATTGCCATGCCCCACCCCTCAGCACACAGATATATGTGGATGCACACACACAAACCATTAGTTTAGAAGCCATTTTGATTAATGGAACCAGCAGGTCTGTAGAGTTGTTCTAGGGACTAAATACAGAATAGAAGGTGTATCAGTTAATTTTTTGTTGCTGTAATAAAATGCTGTGACTAAAAGCAACTTATGGAAAGGTTTTGTTTTGGCTTATTTCAGAGGGAGAGTCCATAATGGCAGGGGAGGCATGGCAGCAGGAGCAGGAAACTGAGAGATCACATCTTCACCTTCAAACATAAAGCAGAGAGAGAGCGAGAGAGACAGAGACAGAGAGAAACAAGAACAGGAAGTAGGATGAGGCTGTAAATTCTCAAAGCCCGCCCCCAGTGACATACTTCCTCCACCAAGGGCCTCTTCTTCCAAGGGTTCCATAATTTTCCCAAATGGTACTACCAACTGGCAATCAAGGTTCATATACCTGAGCTTATAGGAGACATGATTTGTTCAAACCACTACAGAATACTCTCAAGTTTAAGTCTTAGAGAGCTGCTGGTGGTAGATAGACACTTGGCTTGGGAAAGGCTGGGAGTCTCTAGGCTAGTCAGGGTGTGTGTTCATGCTCCCAACTAGTGTCCTCTCTAGTTGACCATCACGACTTGTGGAACCCTGGCTCAGTCCATGACTCTCAGAGCTGAGAGCCTCTCCCTAAAGCAGGCAGAGCCTGCTCATCTGTTGAATGAGAGCAATTAACCCTGACAATCCTGAGTGGGTGGGCTGCAGGGGAAGACTGCTGGGGTGAGGTGAGGGTGAGCTTCCCTCTGGACTAAGATTTTCCATCTATCTGAAATAGGTTGCTGGTGACAAGTGGTTTTCCAGGGTGTTACCTACAGGTGTGGCATGTTGCAGAGGACAATGGTGAGTGAATTTTAGTGGAGAGGTTTTAGGAAAGTAAGTGATTCACATACTCCTGTCCCCTACTCCAAGACAATAAAGAAGTACTTAAGGAGGGCTGGAGGTATGGCTCAGCAGTTAAGTGCAAAGACTGCTCTTGCAGAAGACCCAGATTTGAATCCTAGAACCCACATGGTGGGTTTACAACTCCAGCTCCAGGGGATCTGACACCTTCTTCTGTCTTCCTCAGGCATTGAATGACACAAGTACACTTGCATACATACAAGCAATATATTAATACACATAAAAAAAATAAAAATGATAAAAAATTTTTTTGGTCTTTTTGAGACAGGATCTCCCTGTAGCCCCAGGTGGCCTGAAACTCACTATATAGACCAGGTCAACCTTGAACTCGCAGAGATCCACCTGTCTCTGCCTCCTGAGTGCCACCACACCTAGCTAAAATTTTTTTTTTTAAAAAAAGAAGTACTTGGTGGGTGTGGTGGTGCACGCCTTTAATCCCAGCACTTGGGAGGCAGAGGCAGGCGAATCTCTGTGAGTTCAAGGCCAGCCTGGTCTACATAGTGAGTTCCAGGAAAGCTGGGGCTACAAGGGGCCCCTGCCTCAAAAAAAAAAGAAGTACTTAACAGAGGGGAGTCAGTAACAATAGGGTGGTTACTAGTTATTTGGTGAAATGCCTGTTGTGATCTTTCACCCACTTCAATTGAATTGTTGTGTTGAGTTATAAAAACTGTTTGTATATTCTGGATACAAGTTCTTCATTAGATATGTTTGCCAGTAACTTCTCCCAGTGTGTCTAGCTTTTTATCATATTAATGTGCTGGTTTGGTAAAACTTGCTGGGAATTTGCCACAGGACACTTTACCACTGACTGGAGAAAGAGACCCAATTCTGATTTTTAAATTATTATTATTATTAATTTTTATTTTATGTATATGCATATATTGCCTGCATGCAGGTAAGTGCACCTGTGTCACGCAATACACACGGAGGACAGAAGAGGCTGTAGGATACCCTGGAACTGGAGTTACAGTTCTTAGCTGCCATGTGGGTGCTGGGATTCAACCTGGAACCACTGAGCCATCTCTCTAGTCTTGATGTTTATTTGTTTGAAAGTACCTGGAAAGAGCATCCCAGAGAGGAGGGGCCTCTGGGCAGGGAAAGGACTTGAGAAGATAAGATGATCCAGGGAAAGCCATACTGGGTGGAGACTCACATAGGGCAAGGTAGAAAAGAAAGGAAAGGAAGAGGGTAATTAGAGGGCACGTTAGGTCTTTGCAGTGTGCTAATTCTAGGGCTGTATTTCCTGTTTACAGTGAAAATCTATGAGATTCTCTATCCCCTCTCTTTCTTCTTCCAGGAAAATATCTTTGTCTGCCTCTGACCAGGCTGATTGGTTTGAAGTGAGTACTTTCCAAAGCTCAAACCTGGAGCCCAAACCTGGAGCACATAACACACTCAAATGATGTTGATCCCTACATTATTCAGACTGAAGAACTGTACAGTTGCCATTTGGAGCAGAAAGGGAAGAGAACGAAGTGTCCGTGATGCTTAGGGTCTTGCTTCTTATTATTTCTGAGGTTCAGATATTTCTGTGATCTCTCTGTATTTGGGAAGCCTGTGATCTAAATAATCTAGCATCCTTCCACTGATGGTTTTTTTGATTCTGCTAGCTTAACTTGGACTTTCATCACATGCACTGCAGAGTCATAACTAAACTTTATCTATTTGGTTCCACTTCCCACCATATGTGACTATGCACCTTATGTCCTCCTTGCTCC